AAATTTTGACATTTTATGATTTATGGTATATCACTAGAAACTGGTGATAGATAAATATGAAATAGGTATGGATTGTTATATCTTGATGCATTAGGAATATTTTTTATTCATAACGTCTTTCTCCATCAGTTTTAGTACTTACATTATAGTTGATTTTATTGAGAAAAATCGTCCAATTTTGACATTTTGTGATTTATGCTATATCACTAGAAACTGGTGATAAATAAATATGAAATAGGTATAGATTGTTATATCTTGAGGCATTAGCAATATTTTTTATTCATAACGTCTTTCTCCATCAGTTTTAGTACTTACGTTATAGTTGATTTTATTGAGAAAAATCGTCCAATGTTAACATTTTGTGATTTATGCTATATCACTAGAAACTGGTGATAGATAAGTAGAAACCGAACTAAAAAGCACCAAAAACGCAGAAAAAGGCACCTAAAAAGGCATTAAATTTTAAGAAAAAAAGCTTTAAAAAGCACATTTTTTTAAAATAAGGCATAAAATAAGCATAAAAACTAATAATGTAATAACCTTTTATTTTCAGTAAATAAACATTTCTGAACAAATTTTTATAAAAACTACTAGCTTTAATTATTAACATTGTCAAAACATGAAATAATTTGAAATTGAGTGTAAAGCACTCCTAATAATACTAGTATTATTTAATTCAAGCTTTTTATGGGGGAGTCTCTTTTTTTGTATCAAATAAAATGATTTCTTTGGGAATTTAGTAGTAACAGTAGTAAAAGTTGAACTATCTAAATTTGCAGGTTGAGACCTGTTCGAATTGCTATAGAGATGTAGGAATGGCAGCATTTGCTTAAAAAGTTCTGCACTTTTAAGCAATTGCTAGCAGCAAGAGTAATTACTGCAATTTTTATTCATTGGTTTTCAAGTATTTGCTTTGATTTTGCAAGAAAAAATTGCAAAATTTTTATTCATTAGGGCCATTAAGCTTGGTAAATCAATTTAGGCATTATTCAATCGTTTTAAGATACTATTTGTTTAGTAAAACCATTGACCCCGTGAATAAACCAGATCTTACCCAATATAGCAGATATTCATTACTGTCAAAGAGAATTCTCTTTGACCTCAAATTATATATATCTCTATACGTTCCAAGATATTCAGCGAGGTTTTCTTCAACTTGTAGTCTTTTCTATTTCTTTATTCCATTTACGACTTGCATTGTGTAAGATCAAAAAATACTTATGGAGATTAAAGTAAAAACTGTCAGTCTTGGGAATGTTAGTCCGATTTCCTTTATATTTCTGCATTAAGGTTATTAATGTAGTAAACAAACCTGACCCTATCGAACAAAGCAGGTAATCCCAACACAATAACCATGAACATTCTTAACATTCCTGCAATGAAGTCACCTTAATAAGCAGATGTGACCTTACCATATCATTCTTTAAGTAAGGATATTGAGTAATTATAACCACAATGTTAAATTTATATAAGCAAATTTTTGCAAAAACCATTACAACTATTAATTGATGATGAGTTCTTTTGATGAATTAATTTTTTGATTCTAAACAAATTTGTTACAAGATCGTTCTTTTTTCTTTTACCTATTTTTTTTTTTTTCGTTCAGTGAATGTATTCTCGCGTGTCCTTTTACTAAAATCAGATAAAACCGTCAACGTGTTTTAAATGACCACGCCTTTATGGCACCCGCCATACATATTATCTTGCATCACGGAGCGTTCACATTCTCATTTACCACATTTCACACCCACACGACGACATTACATTTATTAGTAACAATAAATTTTAAGTTGTTGAATTTTATTAGAATCAATTTTAAACAAAAATCAATACATTAAACAAAAATATCTGCGTGGAGAGCCATCTAGTTATGAATGGAGTTATTTGTATTTTAATGGAGTGTAAAGATAGTCAATTGTTTGTGGGGTTGGTGAGGCTTTTGGAATGGAGATGGCGCAAATTAAGGATAATAAGATTTTTTTTGAAAATAATAAGTTGCAAGTAAAAATTTGGTTTTTAATTAAAATGTTTATTCAATAACTAAATTAATATAAACATTACCGTGTGTGATAAATAATAACTTCGTTGATGGTCTTATAATCTTTATCTTTAATTTTAATCTTACCATTTCTTATCCCAACCCCATCCACCATTATTTCCCCACCTTCCATTTCCCCATCCCCCATTATTTCCCCATCCCCCATTATTTCCCCATCCCCCATTATTTCCCCATCCCCCATTTCCCCATCCTCCATTATTACCCCATCCACCATTATTTCCCCATCCACCACTCCATCCTTTTCCACCCCAATTATTGTTGTTACCCCATCCATTTCCACGTCCATCTCGGTTCCAAACACTCCATCCTTTTCCACCCCAATTTCCATTTCCATTCCAACCCCATTGACCATCGCCTCTATCACCCCTATTTCCACCATTACCCCATCCTCCATTCCATCCTTTTCCCCATCCATTATCACCATTCCTTTCACCGCCCCAACCGCCATCTCTGACTACTTTCACGGGATTCCATGCTTCTGAGTTGGAATTTATGGTTGAGACAGCTTCGTACGATGCAACCACCGCTAAGAGGGTGGAAATTAAAATCTAGAAATAATTAAAATTAAAGGAAATCAAAAAGGAAAAAATTTACTTACCAATTTAAACATATTTATAAAAATGATATGTATGTGTTGGAGTTGCTCAGATACTTCTGATGATTCCAAAGTTGAATTGAATCCATTTTATAGTTAAAATTGGGTACAGGGTTAAATTTGATCTAGTATTGGTAGGGTTTATTTGAATTTTAAATGAAGGTAATTAACTTATTTAGGATTTGGGGTAAGAATGCTCGAGAAACATACATGACCGGCTTCTTTGGATTTAAACATTTTTTAACCCGGTTCGCTCGAAACGTAGGAACTAATTGGACCGCGCCTTACAGTAATTATGTAATTTTCGTATCTATATAGAAAACGCGTTATGGATATTAAGTGTTAATTTGAAGGTTATATATAACGTGCAAATATTATTAATACATTAAAATTTTTATGGAATTATATTAAATCGATCTTAAAGTTTAAAAGTAACTTTTTCAACCCCTATATCCCTAGTAGTTACCTTTTGCCCCCCTCAAACCTAAACTAATAACCGTCCATGAGTCAGCAAGATCGCATCACGACGATCGTCAGCACCAAACGTGTCGTGTTCACGTAACACATACGCATACAGAAACGTGGGCGAACACCTCTTCGAGAGCTTCACACTTCACACCACCGGGTACCATCCAACCAACGAATCCAATGGTAGTAGTGTAAAAGCGTGGGTGATCAGAGAACGTCAACGTCCAGGTGGTCGATGTCAGATGGTTCAAAACGAAAAATAATCATAAAAACGATCATTTCAATATTGATAAAATATGTCAGAAATGAAAATAAAAAAACTAATAATAATCGGAGATTAAGAAAATTGTTGATGTAGAAAAAGAAAAAGATGGTTAAGATGAGGAAGAGTTGAGACCACACCATTTGACAGTGCTAACTGACGTCCAAGTGAAGATACAAGAGAAACACGCTGCGTGGGTATTAGCGGTATGGACGTAGGTTCAAGATAGGGTATAGAAGGAGTTGACGCGTGGTTATGACAGGGAAAAAGGGGGGTCTCGATGTCCACGAAGAAGTATTCGATCTTGATTTGAGGGTGACAGTGTCTCGTGGTTAGGAATTCAAGAAGGGCTAATTGGGTTTTGAGACCAGCTACTGAGATACGCACTTTATTTTTTGTATTAACTTTAAAAAATTAAAGTTATATTTATTCAGATCACGTTTTGTCATATATCGGGTTAATTTTTTGTTTGGTGATTTTGTTAGATTTAATTTGAACGGGGGGGGCATAACGAGACTTCGTGGGTTCGCATCCTCCACCCGAAAGACGCCAAAGAAGGGAAGGACGTATCTCATTATCCCCGGGTTCGTATGCACCGAGCCATCTGATCGCACGATAAAATATTACACGCCATTTTTCATGCCGTCAGTTCACCGTCCTCCTCGCGCTGCCTTGTCAGATCGGACTTGATCATTGAAGGGGGTATTAAAAAAATCCGACGGGGATGGAGAAAAGAAATTTTCTCCCATTAATATCGATTCTTCAATTCTTAGAAATTTTTAAATCGGTAAAAACGATATTTAATTTTCGAACGATATCGTAACGGAAACTTTTTCGCATAATCATCGTCGAGTAGTTACCCTCATGATTGAAACGGCGAAGTGGAGGGAAACAAAAAAATTACCTCTGTTATAAGTATTATAACCGGTGAAATGTACTTCGTTTTATACGGTACATAGAACGTAGGCAGTTGATAAAACCTTAATGAGTACCACTATGGGGATATATACTTTGTAAAAGCGATGGGGTTTTTAGACGTGTAGGCGCCCGCATGTGACAGGAGATGCCAAATTACGTCTAATAACACATACGTTGATGTGGTGTTTGAGTTGTGGATGTAATATTTTGAAGGAATGGTCATTCTTTCAATTAAAATTTTCAATAAAATAAAAAAATGCAGAGTTTCTAGATTTTGATATAAAACTAAGGGTATCTGCGAATTTTTTGGTGCAGGGTGTGAACGGTAAGGGTAATCCACCCTTCTCGTCTACTCCGTCAGCGAGGGATTTTCCATTTCGTGCCATCTCCAAAGGGCCATTTCTCACGCAGCGACGTTCTCCAATCCCACGAGAAAACGATCAAAAAAGAAAAATAAAACAAAGGGGGGTACCTTTTTACCACATTATATATTTCCTAAAAAGAAAAATTTAAATCCCCTTTTAAATTGGCATACTCACAAGGTTTTATATATTAAAAAAAATCACAATAAATCAAGGTTTGACTGAATTTTATACCATTACCAGTATTTATAAACAAAATAATGAATTTTTTAATGAAAAAGGTCGCTTTTGAATATATCTTTTAGTTTTTGAGATATCAAGCTTTGAATTCGGTTTTAAAATTTAACTAATTTTACATCGTACAAAAAAAATCGTCAATAATCGATTTATTAAGATATCATCATGAAATTTTCGGAAACTACACAAAAAAAGGCTTAGCTTTTTAATGAAAAAAACCGTTCTTAAAAATATATTTTAGTTTTTGAGAAAAAAATTTTTAAACGTAATACTACTTTTTCTCGTTTCTTGAGTTACATTTTTTCCTAATGTTCTTTAAAAAATCGTAATAAATCGGGGTTTTAATACAACGTGATGAAATTAGCACTCCTTATAAATAAAATCATGAGCTTTTCAACGAAAAAGACCGCTTTTCAATATATCTTTTAGTTTTTGAGATATCAAGCTTTGAATTCGGTTTTAAAATTTAACTAATTTTACATCATACAAAAAAAAAATCGTCAATAATCGATTTCTTAAGATATCATCATCAAATTTTCGGAAACTATACAAAAAAGTCTCAGCTTTTTAATGAAAAAACCTGTTTTTAAAAATGTATTTTAGTTTTTGAGAAAAAAAATTTTAAACATAATACTACTTTTTCTCATTTTTAAGGGTAAACCTTTTTTCCTAATGTTTTTGAAATAACCGTATTAAATCGGGGTTTTAATAAAACGTGATGAAATTAGCACTCCTTATAAATAAAATCATGAGCTTTTCAACGAAAAAGACCACTTTTCAAAATCACTTTTAGTTTTTGAGATATCAACCTTTAAATTCGCTTTTAAAATTTAACTAATTTTACATAATACAAAAAAAATCGTCAATAATCGATTTCTTAAGATATCATCATGAAATTTTCGGAAACTGTACAACAAAGTCTTAACTTTTTAATGAAACAACCCGTTTTTAAAACTATTTTTCAGTTTTTGAGAAAAACATTTTTAACCATAATGCTACTTTTTCTCGTTTTTTGGGTAAACGTTTTTTTCTAATGTTATTAAAAAAATCGTAATAAATCAGGGTGTTAATAAAACCTGATGAAATTAGCATTCCTTATAAATAAAATCATGAGCTTTTCAATGAAAAAGAGCGCTTTTCAATATATCTTTTAGTTTCTGAAGATATCAAGCTTTGAATTCGGTTTTAAAATTTAACTAATTTTACATCATACAAAAAAAATCGTCAATAATCGATTTCTTAAGATATCATCATGAAATTTTCGGAAACTATACAACAAAGTCTTAGCTTTTTAATGAAAAAAACCGTTTTTAAAAATATATTTTAGATTTTGAGAAAAATAGTTTTAAACATAATGGTACTTTTTCTCGTTTTTTTGGGTAAACGTTTTTTCCTAATGTTTTTAAAAAAATCGTAATAAATCGGGGTTTTAATACAACGTGACGAAATTAGCATTCCTTATAAATAAAATTATGAGCTTTTCAACGAAAAAGACCGCTTTTCAATATATCGTTTAGTTTTTGAGATATCAACCTTTAAATTCGGTTTTAAATGTTAACAAATTTTACATCATACAAAAAAAAATCGTCAATAATCGATTTCTTAAGATATCATCATGAAATTTTCGGAAACTATACAACAAAGTCTCAGCTTTTTAATAAAAAAAACCGTTTTTAAAAACATATTTTAGTTTTTGAGAAAAAAAATTTAAACGCAATACTACTTTTTCTCATTTTTTAGGATAAACATTTTTTTCTAATGTTTTTAAAAAATCGTAATAAATCGGGATTTTGATAAAACGTCATCAAATTAGCATCACTTATAAATAAAATCATGAGCCTTTCAACGAAAAAGACCACATTTCAAAATAACTTTTAGTTTTTGAGATATCAAGCTTTAAATTCAGTTTTAAAATTTAAATTTTACATCATACAACAAAAATCGTCAATAATCGATTTCTTAAGATATCATCATGAAATTTTCGGAAACTATACAAAAAAGTCTCAGCTTTTTAATGAAAAACCCCGTTTTTAAGAATATATTTTAGTTTTTGAGAAAAACATTTTTAAACATTATGCTACTGTTTCTCGTTTTTTTGGGTAAACGTTTTTTCCTAATGTTATTAAAAAAATCGTAATAAATCAGGATGTTAAGAGAACGTGATGAAATTAGCATTTCTTATAAATAAAACCACGAGCTTTTCAACGAAAACGACCACTTTTCAATATATCTTTTAGTTTTTGAGATATAACCATATACATTCGCTTTTAAAATTTAACTAATTTTACATCATACAAAAAAAATCGTCAATAATCGATTTCTTAAGATATCATCATGAAATTTTTGGAAATTATACAACAAAGTCTCAGCTTTTTAATGAAAAAAAACGTTTTTAAAAATATATTTTAGTTTTTGAGAAAAAAAATTTAAACGCAATACTACTTTTTCTCATTTTTTAGGATAAACATTTTTTTCTAATGTTTTTAAAAAATCGTAATAAATCGGGATTTTGATAAAACGTCATCAAATTAGCATCACTTATAAATAAAATCATGAGCCTTTCAACGAAAAAGACCACATTTCAAAATAACTTTTAGTTTTTGAGATATCAAGCTTTAAATTCAGTTTTAAAATTTAAATTTTACATCATACAACAAAAATCGTCAATAATCGATTTCTTAAGATATCATCATGAAATTTTCGGAAACTATACAAAAAAGTCTCAGCTTTTTAATGAAAAACCCCGTTTTTAAGAATATATTTTAGTTTTTGAGAAAAACATTTTTAAACATTATGCTACTGTTTCTCGTTTTTTTGGGTAAACGTTTTTTCCTAATGTTATTAAAAAAATCGTAATAAATCAGGATGTTAAGAGAACGTGATGAAATTAGCATTTCTTATAAATAAAACCACGAGCTTTTCAACGAAAACGACCACTTTTCAATATAT